GGCTCACCTGAGAACAGGTGGATTTATTGCTCATTTATTTGTCAACAGTACTTGAAAACCAATGTTTTTGGATGATATGCTAATAAAAAGAGTTATTAAAGATTAATTTAATGGTTAATTCTTGGCAGACTCGTACCCCTCTCCCCTGCCACTAATGAACTCTGATGCCTATGCTGCATCAGATACAAGGTTTCTTACCGAGAGTTGAGCATTTTTGTCAGCTTGTGACTTAAGCGTGAATTTGTAACGTCTGAACGTTTCCACGCCTTCACTTATTGTTCCACTTTACTGCTTATCTTATTATTTATCATTTCCTTTCCTGTGTCATTGTCTTGCAGGTAGAGGAGGAGCTGTTGGAGCAGGAATTCTTGGAGCGCTGCTTCCAGGAGATGTTGGAGGAGGAGGACCAGGATTGGTTCATCCCTTCGCGCGACCTCAACAACCAGGGGGTGGGGCAGCTGCAGCAGCAGCTCAACGGCCTGTCGGTCAGTGATCACCACAACAACCTGGAGGAAGTGGCGGTGAGTCAGATGCGTCTGATTGCGCTGCGCTCACTTTGTCGGTTCTTGATAAAATGAGTAATTTTATTCTGTTTCCTTCTCTCTGCAGAGGAAGAGCATCTTGAATCCTGAAGCAAAGGAGTTTGTCCCGGGGAAGAAATACTAGGAGTCCCCCTCACCCCCATGGAGCCTCAGCATGCACGCACACACATGCATACACAAACACACTCAGACACATGCACCAGTCCTCTCATATTCTCAGAGACTCTGGCGGCCACGGCCGCACACACGCTGATCCTCACACGCAAGCATGCACACGCACACACTTGAAGTCAGTGGCGTGCTGCCAGGCCCGATTGGGGGGTGGGGGGTTTTCTTTTTTTTTTTTTTCTTCAATCTTTTTATTTCCTGTTTGTTTCTTGTAAACTGAGGGACATTGGGGATGGGTGGGAGAGGGGGTGTAGTACCAGCTCTGCCCTTCTGTGGGCGCTAGCTCATCATTGCATTTCACACCACGCTGTTGATGTTTACAGAGCATGCAGATCTCAGCAAGTCCCTTGAAAAATAGGCAGCTACTTGGGAGTGATGCCAAGACAAAGTCTAAATTCCAAAAGTTTAGTCTTTTTTTTGTTTCAGTGTTAATTTGTGTCTAATTGGGTGAACAAAACAAACAAAAAACACATTTCCAGCAGGTTGAAGGTTACTATGTTGCTGAGGTCAGAAGGATGAACATTTCAGGGGACTGCAGCGGGCTTCTGCCGTTGCTCTGTAAAGCCATCACAGTAACCCGTTAGCGTTTGCTCCTACGATGTCCTGTGACATCACGGCTCATGTTTATCTAAACGATGGATGGTTATTTGTATCTGCAGCGGCTCTGTTCCATACCACGTGCAAACCCCTCAGCCCTCTCTCCCTGCCGGTTGAATCGATCCGAACGCTCATGGATGGGTGGCATCATGGAGAAGAACTTGTTTTCCCAATTTGTGTTGACATCCATGCTTATTTTTCATCAAGTATCCCAATCATGAGTTAAATAAAGGAGTTGAATAAAATTGTCAAACATCAAACTTTTTTTTTTTTTAAATCTTTTAAAAACTCAGTCATCTTTTTGTGTGTGTGCACAGCTTTAGTTCACGGCTCAGTTTTTGTAAGGTGTTCATCCTTCTTACGGGGGCGGGGGGTACTTGGTCTGGAACGCAGCCACTGCCTCTTTCTGTCAGCTTGGTTTGTTTAGGATCAGATAAAGTGTCCATATCCAAATCGGGTTTTTCAAATAGCATCTCATCCTTCCCCTTATTTTTCCTTCACATTTTTTGTTTTTGAGGATGAGGCTCTCTACTGGGTATAGTAGCCTGTGGTGTCCATTTAGTCCTGTTGGTAGGAGGAAGCAAGTAGGGAGAGGTGATTGTATCGCCATGGGGATGGCAGTATGGAGGATGTGGCGGTCAGTATTTAATCCTTGCCGGTCTTGTCCTACCCTAGGAATCTGACTTTTTGTTTTGAGGAAGTTCTACTTTAAATCTTTGCGGTCTAGAGTTCAAAGTGTCTCTCCCTGATGCGAGTATAATATCCATTAAATCGTGAGCCAGTAGGAAAAAGTTACATGTGACAATACTCTTCAGGAAATCCAGATTCCTATCACCAGTAATCCTGAATTGTTTCTTTTTTTCTTTTCTTTCTCTGAATCTCAGCCATTTTGGCTTGAACGTGGACGTAGTATTGTCCCAGGAAAAGTAAGATCTCGTGTATTTTTGTGGTAAGCAGAGATTATTTACATTGTGTTTCAAAGTATCTGACAGGTAGTGCTTCTGTCCACCCATGCTGCTTTCCGAGGTTTCTGTGAGAGACGGTGAAGCGTGGGTTTAAAGGGGAACTTCCTCAGTGTTGGACCACAGATGTCAAATGACACCCTGGTGACGCCGTTAGGAATGTCCGCCAGGTGGATTGTACAACATGAAATCATTTTTGGTGATTTTCATTTTCTTTTCTTTTTTTTTTGAGTTGTGTGATAGAAGCCGTTAAAAAAAAAAAAAAAAAAAAAAAAATAAATAAAAGTGTATGAATTTCAAGATAAACAAAAATGATGAAAAAAGTTGAATAAAGCAGCTAAAGACAAATGTTTTGTTTGCTTTTCTTTTTCTTTCCCCCTTTTCTCTTAATCTGTACACACACGTGACTTTTCCTGTGATAATTCTGAACAGTCCAAGAAAATCATATCGAAAATGTTTCACAGCTGAGTTCATTGTAAAGGTTCTTATTTCAAAGGTTCAGGACGATATTCACTTTCTTTGTCTGTGAAGGTTCTCAGTCATCCAGGTCATCGTAGTCAAAGGAGCTTGCAAAGAAAAGCGTCTGGACTTCTTTGAGTTGCTTGAAGACGTTTCACCTCTCATCCGAGAAGCTTCTTCAGTTCTAAGGTCAAATGGTGGAGAGTCCCAGATATAAACCTAGTGGGAGTGACCCCCCACAGAGGGACAAAAGGACCCCCTGATGATCCTCTAATCGCCTGAGCCAAACTTTCTTTCAAGTCTGAGAGCGTGGAAGTTGGATCATAACACGGATCGATAAGTGAGGTCAACGTACGTGGCCAAGTTAATGGGAATGTGCCGATGAACTAAACACTCGAGAAGTCGGAGCTACAGGGAATACTGAATAAAATCAAGATTATTAAAGTTAGAATAACATTTCAGTGGGAATTCACAGATAGTTATCGCTTCAAATGTCCGCTTTGCTCTTACTGTGAACTTCCTCGGGACTGCTCCGTGTGAGCTATCGTCCAAGATATTTATGAGTATTCGTATTCATTCCCTCTGGAGCTTTGGATCATATCACGGGATCTTTTTCAGCGTGTGGTTTTCATTATATTTCTGTTTATAAGTCCAGCTGTAGATGGATACCGCTGAAAATGAGCAGCTCCCAAATGTGCAGCGGTTGCTTGGTCAGCCACTATTAGCTTTTAATTGCTTAAAAATGATCATCTATCTAGACTGACTGTTTGCTAACAAATGGCCAGTTTTTGGTTACATAAGCGCATCTACTAAAGCTGCGACTGCTTAAACAGCGCGACGCTCAACTCCAGAATATGTTTCACTGTCACTTACTCTCAGTCGTTTAAGCTTGTCTTTTATTTTTTGCACAAAGTACCTTGTCTAAGAATATATTTGTTTTGTTTTCGCATTCGAGGAGGCGGCGCACCATCAGTCTGTTTAGCATCAGCTTGATAAACGGTCATCTGATTGTTGCGTAAAGCTGTGCATGCCATTTGGCCTCACTGGAGAACCTGATCTGCTGCCCTTAAAGCAGACTGTCTGAGATCACCCGGAGATAACCTTTCACTTATAAACATGAGGACGTGGAGAATGCTTGATGCTGACCTTTGGTGGGCAAAACCATCTCAAATCACTCTGAGCCCTGCAGGCGTTAGGTAGGTTTGCAACTAAAGAGCAGCACAGAACAGTGATATCCAAGTAAATAAAAAATATATAGATGCATAGGATGGTGCTACATTTCATCTTTGAATAAAGGGTTAATTCAACTGAAGTTCACAGTGTGGATCTGAAAGCAGACTGGAGGAGTGACATCAGGATTACGTCTGCAGAAAAAGAGATGAAGGATTGGTTTTTGGTGACTATCCTGAAAATGAGCTCATGACTGTGTCGGTGCTCATTTCCAAAGCGAAACAGGAACAAAAGGAAGACGATCGAAATGTTAACAGACTAGAGGAGCCTGAAATCCAGGAATGTGAACGGCAAAGACTGCAAATCCCTCGATTTGTGTGGATATGAAGGAGCAGAGATATATGACCCCTGAAGTCACCACACCCTCTACATACAGCACCCAGGTGGAACCAAGGTCATTGCACAGGGACACTACTGTGTGCAGCACTATGAGGATGGATCATAAGAATGAAAAAGAGCTTAATTGGACTGTGCAGCTAGTTTTGCACTTCACCTAACTTAACCTAACCTAACAAATCCTCCTCTCCAGACCACTTGAAGCCCCTCTGCTTTAATAAAGTGCGACCAGTGAAAGGAGCCATTTTCTTCACAACTGTCCATTTTTACACGCTCACACAGCAGAGATGGGAATCACTAGACACCCCACAATATTGCTACGATAATTTACTCATGAAATGATATTACTGTGATGCTGAGCAGCCTTCCAGCTCTACAGGTGGGCCACAGGTTTTCAGGTTTCTTTCAGTTGGGAATGGTTGCCTTAGGAACCCCAGGAGCTCCAATCAGAATCATTAAATCTTATTCATCTCAGCAGAGACACTGAAGTTAGCATGGGGAATGATGGTTCGAATTTTTGTGGCATTTGTTAACATTTATTTAACTTAAAAAAAACCCAAAAACTAAGTAAATCATCCACCACAGCTGTGTGGACACGTAAGCCTCTGCCCAGCACGAGGATGCCAGCAAGTTCACAGCTCACCGTCTTCCTGCCAGCAGATGGTTTACTGCTACGTTGCGACTCAGCTTTTGTGACCTTGGCGAGATAACCGAGACTCACGCACAAAAGCCATGACCGCTATCTCCCTTTTCTGCGGAGGTGTTTGGACAAAGCAGCTCTACAACATTTCATACTAACATGCTGCACTTTAAGTCTAAATCAAAATACAAAAAATACATTTTTTTCTGAATGATCTGTATTGAGTCAAGATTCAGACTGTAGACCAGTGACAAGGTGAGCGATCAGAGAAGGCATCCTGCTGAGTCTAGGTGGAAATACACAAGATAAAGGGACAGACATGAGAACATAAACAGAATAAGCACAGGGCAAAAGCCTGCAAGTGTCAGGCTACTCACACAGAGCTTCCTTTGGCCACTCTGTATCTTAGGGCCATAGTTGAACTGGTACTCTTGTTTGCGGCAGCTTCCTCCTAGTCTCTGTGCAGTAAGTTGCTGGCTGTACGTGGGCCTGAGGCAGGGCGCTGCTCTGACAGATGGTTTTCAGCTCAAAGCACTCAGGTCCCCTTGCACAGCTGGGAGTAAGAAGAAAGGGGAGAAAGTGTCTGAAAATAGCACAGAGAGCGTGAGAGGACACGATGAAAAGATGGAATTTGTGTCTGTGCCTCACCGGCTGCCCTGACCTAAAGAGTTCTGGAGGGAGGAGGCGCTCAAACCCCACAAGAAGGCACTCTTATCCCAGTGCTGGTCATCTAAATGGGAAGTTTCAAAGCACATTCATTCAAATACAGCTTCCTCTGCAATTTAGAGACTATATTTCACACCATGACTCAACAACAGTAACAACAATGTACTTCGATTTTGTCTTATTGTCTGCATATATATCGTTTACCAGTCTAACTATAATAGCATATATGTAAATCTCTGGTTTTAGACTGGTTTAAAATACTATTTTAAACAGGTTTTTTTTACCCTTGGGTGTGCATGGTGTCATATAGCCCTGATTTGGTCGTCTCAGCCAAATGACCTGTTTGGGAGGGGCAGCCAATTAGAAGAAAGCTGGCTAAAAGCGAGGGTGAAGGGAGATAAACCTTCCTGTTTCACACAGTAGATGAACTGAGAGGTTACATCAAGTCCATCGTAGCATAAAGAATGATCATTAGTAGTGGTGATGGAAAATAACCTAGTAGGCTAATTTTTTTTTTTAATTGAATTTTGCTTGTACACTTAATCCCACAAACTAAGTGGGTTATACTCACAAGCTTTCCTAAAAGCATCTAGCCCATGGCCCATATTAAATGACTTAAATATAAGGCACGGGAGCCTGAATCGGGCCAGCAAATACTCCAGTTCGGCCCACTGGATGGCTTTGGAAAATGTAGAGGAGAACATAAGTTTTGGACTTTTAACTGTATTTTCATGCATTTTCGAGCTTTTGCTACAGATACAGTAATAGATTTCTGTAATTTTGCACATTTAATAGTTACAATTTGAGCCTAAAAAGTCGTGGTTACAAATTTCTCTCATTTGCTACACAAGAAATTCTTTATCACTTCAAAAAACGGGGGCATGAAGTTGAAATTGCACTTCTTTACTTATATCGAAACCTCAGAGATTAAATGTGTAGTTAAGCTTCTGTACACTGACACAAAGCGCAGTTTGACTGGCCTGGCACACATAAGATCAAGGTGAGTTTCACTTCCCTGATTTATGGTCATAAAAATCTGTTCTACCTTTGTTTGTGTCAACAGCAGACCAGCCTTGAGGAGGGCTGAGCAGGTGCTGCAGTCCACTTTCTCTCAGTAGATTTCTTAGAAAATCATTACAGCTGGACGGACCATCGGTGGAAGACAGCACAACCACACCTGAATGTGCACAAACAGCGAAAAGTGGGTTTCACTACATTCAGCCACGGATTCGGCTGCAGTTTGAAAACTCTACGAAACACGAACACGAGTGCTATTTTAGAAACCAGAACAACAAAGGCTTTGGTTTGACGGGTTTGTTACCTGGAGCTCAAGCACACAAACACCACACGAATCAAATCAAACAACAACAAAAAAGAAGCAATCTAACCTCCCTTGTAGACAATCTCAGTCTTGGTAACGTTTGCCTCCTGCTGCTGCAACATGTTTGCTGCCAACAGAAGAAAGCTGAGTGTCTCTACACCTGCCGGCTACATGTTGAGTATGCATGCCTGCTTCAGAGAGAAACACACAAACAGTCCTTACCTTTTCCACCACATCCATCACAAACACCGCACTGCTGACTTTCATCCTCTTGACCAAGGAAGAGCTCTGTCCCCCTGGCAACTCCTGCATCCAGTGTACCGCCAGGGCGGAGCCAACGCCCTGATTTGCCACGGAAACGGAAGGTGTGAGGATGCCAAATGAAGACATGAAGGCAGAAGAAGGAGGAGGCTGAGGGACAAAGCACAGCATGTGAGGGCCTGTGGTGGTGCTACTGCTAATGGAAGGAGTTTTAAAACCAACAGCCGGCCCAGGTGGCTTCAAGGTTATTCTTTCAAAACAACAAACAAAATAAAATGGACCTGTCGTGTCTTCATACGTGCACAAATTCATCCAACCTGTAATAAAGGAGCTCGCTCACCTCATCTCTGGAGTTCAGATGTGGGTAGCGCTCCCTGACGGGTCCATAGTCCTTCTTGTAAGTGGTGAGAAATCTCCCTGCACTGTTGAAACCATGAGTCTGGTCAGGGGAAAAAAAACAAAACAAAACACAAACGGGCATTTTGGGGGGTTTAAATAGGAGTTTAGCTTGTTGTGATAGTCAGTCTGAGTGTATAATGTGAACAAACCTGACATCCTGACAGAAACAAGAGCTTGTTCAGCTACAGTATGCACGCTTCATATTTACTTACATCACCATGATGTCCTGAACTTGATGTAGTATTTTTATAGTATTGCACTGATAACCACTGATGCACTAATGTAGGTAGATGCTGATTTTTATCGTTTGTTTTAAATCATAACTCTGGATGCAACACTCCAAATTCGCCAAAAGATAAAGATAATAATTGTAGTTGTGCTTATATATCTCATAGACCTTATGCCAGCTTGTTTTGTTTTCACAGCTTGTTTGTGCTGCCCCCTGGTGGCCAAATAACAGGACTGCAAGTGAGGATTTCAATACGCGTTTCTCAATGTTATGAATTAAAAAACAAGGACAAAGCCTTGGTGGGGTCTTGCCACATTATTTAAAAGAAAAATAACAATTTGTTTGTCTGTTGTTTCCCACTGTTAGGTTAGACAATTAAGATCGGATCTTATTTCAAATTGAAATAAAAGTTTTAGTTTAATTCTCCTTTTCTGTTGGACTTTTTAAACCTGTGAATTTCAGTTGAACAACAACATGTTGCTGCTGCACTCCAACTCCCCATCAAGCTACATATTTACCTTCCGGTGCTCCAATGTAAGCATGCTTGATGGTTTTTTTGGTTCCTCCTCGAGTAATCTTAGTGCTTCATCGCTGTATTAAAGCCAAACTGAAGACTAGAGACTATCCAGCGTGTCTCTGAGTGAAAGCCAAATGTTTTTAATTGAATTTATTTATTCCACTGAATTCTACTGTGGAATTACAGCCAATTGGTACAAACAGCTCCCTGCTTCAGGGGCTCAAATGTGAATGTATGTGACTGTAAGAAATGATTTTTTTTTAATACTTCTTGTCATGTTTTAGGTACTTTTTTTTTTTTTTTTTACTTTTCTTCTGCTATTGCTACATATTTGTCCTCAGGAGTTGAAATGCAGTTGGAGCTGGTTAAGGTGATCAAATCTACGGCTCCCTAAAAAGTGGAATGCTCCACCTTTATATTAAAAAATCTTCTAGGTTGCTGTTTTGCATCTGCACTGTCACAAAAAATGTTTGTTATTTGTTGGCCTGTTCCACTTTCATTGTGGTAGTTTCAGTTTTGGGTTTATAGTAACAGTTTCAAATTACACACTGGCATCGAAGTGCAGAGTGCAGAGGCCTCTCTGCGGAGCTTGCATGGTCTCCCAGTGTCTGCATGGGTTCTCTTGGGTAGTCAGATTCTCTTCCAAAGACACCGTTGGGCTGTTGGTTGATGCTAGATTGGCTGTAGGTGAGAATGTGAGTGTGGCTGTTTGCCTCTAAGTGTGACCCGCCTCAGTGTTCTAAATGTGACACTAAACTAGATGAAATTTAGGTAAACACGATGAAGGAAAGCCCACATCAATCAGTCTAAAATGATCCACAACAATGCAAAGATCTTCTATAAATTCAACCTCATTTTTATTATAAATCACAAATGCAAACGAGCATTAAAAAGTCTTTGCACAGTACGATAAAATTAACATGAGCATACTGAGATCTGACTCTTTAGTGTCAAAATCAAGTGCAAAACAATCACGTTAAAAATTAAAAAACTGGCCGGCAAGTCTTCCTGCAACTCATTCTCATGCGCTGCTGCTGAAGGTGTGTTGATAGAAGACTTTGGCATTGGCGGCATAATCCATGGCTATGGTAGCACCTGAATGCTGCGCTCCGAGGCCGGCGCCACCGAGCGCCGAGGACCGCTGCAAAATCAGAAGGCTGTAGCTGCAGAAATGACCCTTGTGCTTGTCAGATGATGCCAGTTTATCCAAGACTTCAGTGAAACCTGGGGAGAGACGGAGAATCTCAGACTTCTTCAGGATAGAAGCTACTCAGGCAGAGGAAGTGGATAAGTTGAAGGGTTTCATGATGAGGGTCCATGGAGACACTGACCTGGCTTCAGGAGCTCCCAGCTCTTCCACACCGAGCCCACACACAGGATTGGCAGGCCGAGGTCGCCGCTCAATAGTGGCTGTCAGGAAAATAAAAGAAGACGCGACTCAGAGAAACGTGATCACAAACAGGTGACAGCACGTGACTGTGTGGGTGTGTTACCTCCTGCGCTGCAGGTAAGACTGCTTCTACATGTTTTGCCAGGACTCGTCCAGCTTCAGCAAACACATGCCGACAGAGAGCGTCCCCTGCCTCGGCACCTTTAACACACACACACACACAAAGTCTGACTTCTACCTTACCGCTTAATCTTTCACATTTCAAAGCAGACCAGGGAGTTACACCCTCCTACCTTCAGCCACCTTCTTGCAGAACCCTGCAAAATGAGACTTCTGGAAGTTTCTGTAGAGATGTGGCAGCATGCCCATCAGATCTGACACCTACGATAAACAGAGTTTTACCCATTAGACGGTATCGCTGTGTATGTCGACACATCTCTCCGAACTTTTGGGACTCTGACCTGGAAGTACTCCTCCATGGCTTTTCTAACATGCGTGGTGTCGTGAGGAGGAGCGACCAGTTTGTCTTTGCCGTCGAACACCGTCTTCACAGCCAGGTGAGCTATCCAGAAGGCTGGGAAGATGGACAGATAGCTCAGTCTGATCTATAAAGATATGAATAATTCACATATTCCGACATAGTTACCTGATCCCTCATCGCCCATCATGTGACCCCAGCCCCCACAGCCGATCTGCGAGCCATCAGGATTGACTAGTTTGCAGTTTGATCCGGTCCCTGATATCAGGACTATGCCCCCTGAAGACAAAGATCTTGATGATAACGCTGATATGCTGATACCATCAAGCCATAAAGCTCAGGGTCAGACAGTAAAGATGATACATAGAGCCACACCTAAAACAGTAAAGTATTAAACTGCGACCTGCTGTAACATTTTAGGCTAAGAGCAGCTCTTAAACACAAGTTATGTCAAATATTTAACAATCATACCGTAGGACAGTGTCATTGTGTTTGTTACATGAACACATTTATGGTTGGGGCAGCTCTGTCTTCCTGCTGAGGACTGGCTGCTGTATGAAGCGAGAACAGAAAATGGCAGCTTACCTCGATTGCTGGCCGTGGCCATGGCACCGATGGCGTCTGTGGTGATGAAGTAACGTTCGCTGAGGCTGGGGAACCGCTCCTTCATGAGAGCGATGAGTCTGTCGATGGCATCCTTCTGCTCGCCTCCGCTCAGAGACATGCCCTGCGTACGCAGATGCACACAAATCAGATGTTAGGGCTCACATTATTTCAATCAGCAACCTGCACCGGCACACAGCCAGACTGACCAGGGAGTATAACGGCGTGCCTGGATCCAGCCCCGCCTCGACCTTGGCTCTTTGGACCATGTCGTCGATGGTTGAGATACACTTGTCCACGCCGACCAGCTGTGAGAGACAAAAAGTGTTGCAAAATAAATGGAACTTGCTACAGTATAACACAATGTAACAATGTATTCACTCAGAAGACAAGTATAAAGACAGTCTATTTAATGTGCAAACCCCTCATCCGGCCACCATCTGCCCCCTCTTTCCCCTTTCCAAATTTCTCCACCTGCCTCCATCAGCACTTCCGCTCACCCAGTGGTTGGTGGATGGTCCCGCCGTCTCTGCCAACACCTTCCCATCCCCTGACAACAACACTGCTTTGGAGTGCGTTCCTCCCCTAATAAGGAATTGACAAATACATGAACGGAGCTGCTAACCACCAAAGCAACTAGACATCACTATACAAGACCATTGTATGCATCTTCCCTGATAGAAACACACACAATTTAAATAGATCCACAAAAAAGGCCCCACAAACCTCATTTAGACAAATACGTATTTATAGCATACTTTTAAAAAAATAAATGATGACATTTTAACTGACAGAAACAGCCCACAAAAGAGAAGTGATCACGAGACACACATACTCGCGCACAGCCGTTAAAAAACTCTTCACTTTCTAATTGACCTAAAAACTTGAATAAATGCCTGTAATACACACAAGCCTTACGTGACACTTCATCACAATAAACTTAGAAGAGTTTTACTGCTTATTTTAATTGATTCTCACCCCTCAACTCCGCCGAACACTCGCTCCATGTCTCAATTCCTGTTTTGGTCCGGGCAACTGCGCAGATATCGCGAGAGCAGAGGGTGAACGCCCTCCAACCTGTAATTATGACTAATGACCAGTAGATGGCAGCAATGTCTTTCTATTTGAGAAATTCAGCAGCAGCCTAGGGCTACAATCATGAAACAAACCAGGGGCCTTCAAGGAGACAGATGCGAAAACAATATCAGGTAGAACACGAACAAACACGTGATGTACGCTACAATTAGATTCCCTACAGAGACGTTAAAAATAACATTTAGCAACAGCTCTTATCTCCCTTTAACAGTTACACGCGAGTGTTTGCATCCTGCAATAACTTACAGGACGGTACTATTAGAGAGAAGCTGCATTGGCCTGATCATGCCTCTGTAATGAGTGCATAAAGAAAATATGCACTCTGCCAGCATGTGAGGCAGTCTGCTGAAGTTTAAATAATAAGATGCAATGCAGGAGTACAGGGGTTTTTTTGACATGTGAAGGAACACGAGCCAGCAAAAAAACCCATTTTGCGTCTGAGTCATAGTTTAAACATCACGATTGAGCGATTTAGCGCCATTTGGCTGAAAACTGGGGCGCTGCAAGCCAGCAGGAGGCATCTGCAAAGCATTAATTTTGGGGGCCAGCTTCTCCTGCCAGCATAGCCTGCATCACTCACAATTCCTGTGATGTTTATGTAATTTAAGTATTTTAAGTACTATTCTTGAGCTCTCAGAAAGCTGGGTGGTTTGAAATGAACAGTAACAGTCGCTTGTAAATGTATTTATGAACTTTTTATGGGATTTAATTTTGAACCAAAACCCAAATTTGTGTAATTGCCAAAAATACTCATCCCAAACTAATCAATCACCATATGAGTTCATCATATTTTTAATGAGCCACTAAAGCTTTCTATCACACATGTTACACAAGGTTGAGGAGGTGGGAGGAGAGAAGGAGATGAGCGGCTCCGTGCGCGTACCACGCTGCTCACTCCTTCAGATGAAGGGAGTGAGTTGCGACAAGTATAACGCATTTAATACAATACCGGTTGTTACTTATTATTTCAAAATAAACGTGCGCTACGGGCGAAAAAACTCAGTTTAACAGTAAAACTCATTTTTTCCCCCAAGTAAGAAAGCATGTATAAATATTCCCCGTGTTTTTCACACTTCCATGAATAATGATTCTTCATGGGTAATGTTGATCTTCCATGTTTTACAGAGAAAGCTCATAAATTGAGAAGTGAAATTTCCTGACTACAGATATTCTAGAGTTTCTTTTTTGGGGGGCTGGTGGATATCACTTTTAGAGGATCCTAGAATAAACATTTCCCCATTCCGGAGACTCGTCGGTTTCAAATTCACGATCAACATAAAGCACATTGTGAACTGATATGACAGCAAGATTTTCAGTAAAGCCTACTGTCATAGGAGTTCAGCTCGTTTGTTTTACTTTGCCGTGTGTATACTAAAATAAAACTGTTTTAATTTAAAAACAATAATCATTTACACTTCTAATGAAGTATTCAACAAATATTTGATGCAATGCAGTGGGGGGGAGCTGATAAGGACACAACTGGGTTCAGCAGGCTGTTCTCAAACAATTTCCACACTTTTAAGTGCAAAAACAAACAAATACAAAAAAAAAC